CGTCTGGATAACAGCAGACTGACTGCTCGTAAAATATACGACAGGTCTGGACCACTCCTGAATTTTGTTCGTATCTGAAAAAAATCTTWGAATACGAAAACATTGGTGAATGCCACAAATTCTCCTAAATCACTCGTACGCACAATTTAAGAACAAATCTGTGCGTACGAACGGTTCTTGCATTATTCCTCACCCTAATGTTTAATCACAGTTCATATAACCTCCTGAGTCTGTGAAACCCTGGTCAAGAGTCCCACAACCCAGTCTGCACATAAAATCATCAATTCAATCAGAAATAACCACATTATAAAAGGATATGACTGTTCACCTAATAAAAGACTATACAATGTGTAGTGTCTTTAAAAGTCAGTAGTAAATAACCCCAATAAATTTCTTCACATTGATAAAATAGTAGGTGGTTAGTTACTGTGCCTGCTGTGCTATGGTGTGCATTTTTTTAGGCCAGTAGACTGATATACAGGGTGTATCAGAAAAAATGATACTCTCAGAAAAATCACCATAAAATTAACATAGATGATAATTTTGAAAATATATGCATTACCTTTGGTAGAGGGGATCATTCTGCTTCAAATGACACCAAAATCTTAGTTAACGCTTCACGTTCCAGTGAGCAGGGACAGTTGGAAATTCACAAAATTCAAGTCCTTTGCGCAAGGAAATGTKAGGGTTAAAATACGATCTGTCACATAAAATTAAAAGTTAATGCCAAGGCGTTTTTAAAATAATTAACCCTTTCATGTCCTAATGTCGAAACAAAAATCTCATTTTTGAGTGGATCTTTTTTTTTTTTGAAACACCCTGTATTGCACAAGCCGTGGCTCCTGTAACTGTTTTTTTTTAATAATTGTAATTCTCTTTAAAACGTCTAGTTGGTAATTTAATCAAAGCTCTACAACACAACTTTTCATCCATGTTGTTCAGACCATACGAGGGTTGTGCATTCACTAGTAGTGCAAAAGCGAACAGGTTGGTCTTAAAAGCCACACAGTCGTAGTAACTATCAGAATCATTATAACTGGTTCAAAAGCACCTGTTAGACTCTTTTGTTGTTGTGGATTATGGAGTGATGTCTCTGAGGATGCGCCCAGCTTCCCACAGCTGTCCTCAGATCCCATCTAATGGGTATTTGAGGAGTTTGAAGTGACAAGTAAACACTTAAGATCTTGGGTTGTTGGAGGAAAGCCAAAGCAGTTTTCTGTGTGCCTCTGCTGTTTTGCTGAGTGGGTAACCCCTGCAGTCTGAGTGTTTCAACAACAYAAGGTTGGGACTGAGCAGCAAAGAATACTGATTCCTGTGACCCGTGTCAAAATAACATTCATGTGAATGCCAGGGGGTGAGGAGTGCTGATCAGCACTTTTTACCTGGCTGTATTTTTATTTTTCTATTGTTGGCGTAGAACAAGAAATGTTTGTAATCTTTGTAACTTTTCCTATAGTTTATATTGTAAAACAAGTCGATAATTCAGCTGCACTCTTAATGTTACACTTAACAAAGTGTTTCTTCTCACTAAAGGAAGCTAAATAGAAAGTTTTCTAGCTTGTTTGTCACTCATGAATATACAGCCATATCAACTATTAAATCTCAAGATGCTCCTTTACTCTCACAACGCTCCATACGCCCACATTATCCAATGTGAAGGGAGCCTTAGCCATGATTTTAAATTTAAGGGGTATTTAAACAACATCCCTGCTTTACACAGACTGTGCTGAGACATTTATATCTTTAGCCTTTTCTTGCTTATTCTTTGTCAGAATAACTCCATCAGACAAAGCACAAAGAGTAACGAGTCAAACTACCACTAGCAGGGACAAACTGAGGCTTCCTGATGTCTCACTTGTAAGTTGTTTTTAATGTGAATCAGAACAACTCATGACTCTAAATGTTTGACTCACATTTTTTATGTTTTTTTATGAGTAACACGTTAAGTTTTTTGTTTAATAATTCTGTGTATTCTTTAATGTGCAAACAGTTTTAACAAATGTACTGTTTTATCTTGWAAGGAAACATCATTGGTTCGGGGATCTTCATCTCACCTAAAGGCGTGTTGGAGCATGCAGGCTCAGTGGGACTGTCGCTCATCGTCTGGGTCTGTGGAGGGGGGATCTGTGCCCTCGGGTCCTTGTGCTATGCTGAACTCGGCGTCACAATCCCAAAGTCTGGAGGAGACTATTCATATGTGACAGAAATCTTTGGAGGGCTTGTAGGGTGAGTATGTTGTTATTTTTGTTTTGTTCTCCAGTGCAGTGTTTTTCAACCCTGGTCCTCAGGGCACGCTGCCGCCCTGCATGTTTTAGGTGTTTCCCTGCTTCAACACAGCTGATTTCAGTTGGTAATTGATTAGCAGGCGTTTGATGAACCGCAGTCATCTGAATCAGGTGTGTCAAAGCAGGGAGACCTCTAAAACATGCAGGACAGTGTGCCTTGAGGACCAGGGTTGAAATACAATGCTCCAGTGGATTACTACATGTAGTTTTTACTTGTTGATTTTCAGTATTAAATTACTTCAGTTCAGGACTGGTTGATTAAGGCATTGTCTGCATTACTCTGGATATTTTTTATGCTGCTTTTTTCTTCTTAAACATAATTTTAACAAAATGCTAACATACACTTGGCCATGTCACCAAGTGGTGAGAACATCCACATTATTATTACAAAAAACTACTCAGATTGACTTTCTGTGTTTTGTCTAGTTTTTTAGCAATGAGATAAAGTGAGACAGATGCTGGAGAAAAAACAAAACAAAACAAACAAAAAAAAAAACCCCAGCTCCATTGTTGTCCTAGTTTTCTAAGCCACAAAGTAATAATGGGCTTGCACAAAGCAAGCAAACTACAGTTTTAGTGAAAACCCATATTTCTAGTTCATACAGACACACCCAAAAAATGAGCTTAAAAAACCCTGGCTTGGAAAACACACCACTCATAATCTCACTCTCCTCAAGGGACAATTTAGAGTTATCAGTTCACCTAACATGCATCTCTAACGTTTGTGRGAGGAAACTGGTGTACCTGGAGAAAACCCACACACGCTCAGACAGAAGGTTAAAGCTTCACCTAAAAGGCCAGGAAGCAATTCTGTGACCTCCTCACTGTGAGGCAACAGCTCTTATGGTGCGTTCACACCGAACGCGATTTCAGCGTCAGGAGCAGCAGGTTTACATACAAAGTCTATGGTGGAGGCG